AGTATGATACAGCTGAAGATGATTAAAATCTTCCAAGTATTTTTTGCTAGAGCTTATAATATGCGGACTCTGATGAAATGGCTGCTGGGCAGGTTTGTACAAAATTAATGAATGGCACTCTTAAGATGACAGTTTTCATTGTTTTCACTGTTGTTCCATAGCATTTGTCAGACTCGGCAGAAATCCATCCTGCCATCATACTGGGAACTTGTGCACTTCCTGTAACAAAGGAAACAACGATCAACAGATGCTGTCAAACCTCTTGAAACATTCTGCACCACTTTTTGGCACTAGTTTCCACCAAAATATCACAAATTATGTGTCTCCCTTGGTCTGCCTACTGGTTGCATTCTTTCCCAAATGGATTATTTGAAAGCAGGTGAAATGTTCATGGACCAGCAGTGCTAAGAGAAGGCTAGAGAGAAGTCTCAAAAACCTTACAAGAGGCCCCCTCTCAGAATACCCTGAGAAACTTCAGCCCTAAAACTAGAGGAAGGATGGGAAACTTTTGGTTCAGGGGATGCCTACAATCACAGAATCACAGAATATTAGGAGTTGGAAGGGACCTCGAAAGATCATCCAGTCCACAGTTTAATTCTTCATATTCCTACTGAATAACACTAAGATGTTATTTGAATCCTTTGAAAGCCACAGAAAGAGGAAAATGTTTGGAATCAACAATTACAATTAGTGAACCATCAAGAGAAATATTAGAAATAATTATTCTGTACTTCTGACCTTAAAATATTAATCTCTGTCGATTTTTACCACATAGGAGTGACTAGCATGTCTCAGCCCATGCTGGGATGGAGTACTGAGATACAACCACTCTTAATTACTTAAGACCAGGAATGAAACAGAACAGAGTAAAACCAGCCAGTAAGTGAAAGACTAGCATTACACAGATTGTTATTTACTCTCAATAAAAAGCTCCCAAGCCTGCTAATACCAGTTACCTGGGAATAATTGTTTGCAACATGGAAGGGCTGTTACTAGGAGGCTGAAAGACAGACACCTCCAGCAACATGATATCCTGGAGCAATAGTTAAGTATTAGCTAATACCTAAGAAAGCCCTGGTAATGGTGTCTGCTGAAGGGAGAAATACATTGAGAGGAGGAAATGGCAGACAAAAATAACTTTTGCAATCTCAAGGCCTCCTGTGGAAACTCCCCACCTATGTACAGGGTTCATGCAGAAAAGCCGGTGCTCATATCCCCTGTTTACTGAACCTCACGGGCACTGATGTCACAGGCCAGGCTTTTCCCAAGTTTTATTGCAAGCCTGTGCCAGAAAACACCCAGCCACTTCCTAAAACATTAATACATCAACAAGAGAGTGGAAAGCAGTGACGCTGCAGGAACTGGGGCAGGGCATTCACAGGTGCGTTGTTCCGCTGCCGAGGTCCCCTGCTAGTTTTGGCCAGACGACAGCGGGAGAAGGTGAATGCACATACAGCTGCCCTGTGGAGGGACACTGCAGCACTGCTGTCCCGGCAGCGGGCTGAGAGCCAGCAAGAGAAGAAACAGCACCACACTAACTTACTCCTTTTTTTTTTTTTTTAATTAACATTTGTCAAACTTGGAGAGAAGCCCAGGCTGCAAAATTTGGATGCAAAATTCAAAGAGCTCAGAAGCTGGCAATGTTCACATACCGGCTCTTCATTTATGCCTAGTCTTTTTTATAGGTCAAGCAGAGATGAATTAATTACTCTTACTGTAACTTACAATTCACAATACAGTGATTTTTTTTTTTTTTGGTATGTCATAATGCACAGCACCTCTATACAAAAAAAAAGTGGCAATGTTTAATAGTAGGTGGGCATTGTTTTTGTTTTCAAGAAGGAATTTTTACCTGAAGTTCTTCTCTTTCGGGTGTGGGAAGAGGGGAAGGCCTTTAATGCCCTCTGCAGAAAAGAGCAAGAGTATTTTGACCAGATCTGGGAGCTGTTCATAACAGTGGTTTCTCAAATTCATGTGAACTTCTGGTTCAGCTTCCTGCACAGCACTCACCGATGCAAGTTCAAATGATTAACTTGTGGCATTACCAAAATACTGAATTCTTGGCATGTGATTGAAAGCCACTATTAAACTCCTGCAATTTCAGTATTGTCCCTAACTGTACAGAAAGCTCTCTGTATGAGAACTGGATTAACAGGTAAAAATCCAGCCCTTACTTTGCACTTTTTACCATCACAGCATGGAATGTTCAGCAAATCGTGCTGCCTAACTGACATTAGAAGATAATGGGAATTGGAATATTGTATTTATTAAAGTAAGACAGTCATGCATGTAACATCCTCTCAAACATCCTAAATGGCCTGTAAACAGCATCTCTAATAGAGTACAGAGCACTAAGGCTACTTCCAGCTCCTAGCAGAGCACTTGCATCCATTACATCCTAGCCTAGAGAGAAGATAGCACAGGGAAATAAGACATTTGAGTCGTATTACAAGGTTCAGAAGGATTTCAGATCTGCAGAAACTCCAAGAAGTAATATGTTGCTAGTGTTCCTTCTCTGGAGCTTTCAGGAGTACATGCAGGAGAATGAGCTTGCTACTGACGAGCCTTCCTCAGCCACACGTTTCCAAGAGCCAAGTCTCAGCTCTCCCTGGGACCACACATGAGACTGACTATTGTGGTCTTCATGGCAAGGACAAACCTCAGTGCTTCTCTGAGCAGATTCAGCAAATGAAACTCTTTGTTTGTCCCTCTGCACTACTTCTGGATCTGTCTACAGCTAGCTTCAATTTGGCTTCTAGATGACATGTAACTGGGACACTGTGCCTCCGTGCTGATGTATTTCAGAGGACTGAAAATGTTGAGAGACCTTGGAGGAGGAGAGATGTATATAAAAGTTAACTCTTACAAGTAGTCCTTCTGCCCCAAATATTCTTCAGCAGAAGAGAGACTGTTTTATAGCACAGCACAGCTTAAGGACACCTTCGTTTTGTTGGTCTTCAGCCCTGACATGGCATTACACAATGAGCAATGTAGGAAATAACGTGAATCAAGAGATTTAATTTTAATGTGGCTTCTACTTCCTGCATGGTTCCAGCAGTGGAATAATTACACAGGTTCCACTTTTTCAAAACAGCCTTTCAGGCTGCTTGCGGCAGACGTGATTGCTTTCCTGATGCTGTGAAGGAAGGTGGTGTGGCCACTTGCTGGATCAGTAAAGCTGCTTTCAATGCAGAGTCAAGTGGTTTTACTGTCTAAATGGGCAAACGCCAGATGACAATTAAGGGCGACCTATCACTCTTGAGACAACAACAGACGTGTCCTGCTTAGATTAGTGCAGTTTCAGACAGTACCGTGAAAAATAATGTAGATTAATTATATAATTAGCACACTATTTTAGAATTACTTTGGCACAAAGGAGGCTGGCTTTTCTTCTGGAGAGATTTCTACCACATTAAATGGTTTTTGCCCATGGTTGTCTCAACAGATTCACTTCTAATAGAATAAGAGGCTTGATTCATAAGGGAGGGTTTTTGGTTAATTGCATTTGTTATATTAGCACGAAGGAGGAGATTTTTGGGGAAAGTATTTACATAAACAGCATTTATGCAGCAAAACATTTGCAATTCAAAAGTGTCAGTCAGCTCTTCTGCAGGCAATGCAGAAGGGGATTGCTTTATCTTAAGTTGAAGTAAACCCCCTGTTAAAGTAAATACGCAGCAGCAACACCAGCTAACAAAGGGAACATGAATAATAACTTTTCTAATTTAAGCTGAATGTGGGAGGATAGAGGTAGGCAGCAGCAGAAGTTGGAAACCGATTTCCAGTGTGATTCATAGAGATTTTCAGCAGTTGCTTGCACAGGTAAATTATAATAGTTGGCATTTACATATAGCTTTTCACTTATTAAAATCTGATGGGTTTAGGGCTTTTTCTTTCTGGCAACTGAAATAGTGATGCACAACAAAGTTAAGAAACTGGCTTGTGGTACTGACTGTGTCAAGGGTCTTGACTTGCCGACACTGAACTGATCCACCAATTCTGCAAAATACTGCTCACCTTTAAATGAGAGAATTTAATTGTAAGATGGAATCGCCTACAGAATTTAGGTGAGGATTTTAGTATCACTGGAACTGAACCTATATTGTCCGTGGCTTATGAACAACGGTAACCAAAGGGTGTACTAGTACTTTATTAGATTATTTCTTTGTTCGGCATTC